TGCGCTGCTGCTCTTGTGGGGATTTTGGGAAACAGGGCTGGTTTTATGACCGTGTCCAAGGGCAGATCATTTCGGAGCATCTCCCAGTGCTGAAGCAGGCTGCTTCCCAGCTGTTGGCATTACAGAGAAGCCCTGGGGGCTGGCCTGTCTAAAGGCATTTGCATTCCTTGGTCAGTTTGACCCTGGCAGCTCAGAAAGTTGATAATTCACTTCTGTGGATTTGGCAGGAGCAAAATGAAAGGCAGCATCCAGGTTTTGGGAAGGGGCTGTGAGAGCGCCATGGCTGGCAATTAGGAGAGAAAGTTGTTTGCCTGCAGGCTGGTACGTGAAGAGATGAGAGTCCTGTTTCACCACCTTATCTTGGGACCTGCTGAAGGGGCTGGAGACGAGTGGCTGGGGGATGAAATACGTGTCTTTATCCTGCCTGGGGCCCCAAGTTTTGTTACCCGGAGTCTTGTGTGTGGTGAGAAGCCTGGCCTGCTGCACAGAGGAGCAGGCAGAGGGAGAAAGCTGGAGTGTTTAGTAATGTGGCCGGGGAGCACGGTGGACATCAATCCAGGCCACTCTGGCTTAGAGTTTGGATTTGCAAAATGAATCGTTAAGTGGTGAAGCACAGAGGAGGGATTTTGGAGCCAGCTCAGAAGGGGAAAGAAGGTTTTGAGGACTGTCATTGCCTTAGAAAAGTTTTTTTTTTAAATGTATTTTTCTGCATTTTTACCTCCATATTCTCTTTTCCGACATGCCTTTTCATATCTCACATCTTGGTTGAGCATTCAGCCCCTCACACCCAACCCTTTCTCCCTTCTGCCTGACATGCCTTTTCATTTCTCACATCTTGGTTGAGCATTCAACCCCTCACACCCAACCCTTTCTCCCTTCTGCCTCCTTTCTCTAGAAAAACAAGCTGTGCAGCTGCTCCTGAGAGCAGCTATCCCAAGTAATGGCTGGGGGGGGTCTGTGGGTTCTGTAGCTGCCGAGAGGTTTGGGTCCTGGTCTGGATCTGTGCACAGCCTCTGACTCTTAGTAGATGTGGGCATACGAAGAGTGTTAGGAACTCCAGAGAAAGGAAAGGACCCTGCCAAGTGACACTAGTGCAGGGGGAGCTTGGAGAGCACAGCAAAGGAGGATTGAGTGGTTTCAAAAAAAGGGAATAGCGTCAAGACTTGGCTCCCTTATGCATCTCCCCAAGAGGACCCTGTAGCCCTGCTTCACCATCAGCACAGGAACTTGGATGCTATTAGGCAGTTCATTAGTAAAACCTCTGAGCTGTTCCCACTGCCACCGAGTACCCATTAATGCCTCTTGAGGGGAGAGGAGAACATTGGAAAAGCACAAAAACAATCTGAGGGTCCTTGATCTCTTTTTGGTCTGAGAGGTCGTAGGCTGAGGTTGGAGGGGAAGAGGGGCTGGGCAGGGATGCTAGGCATGAAAGCAGCACCCGTGATTATCTGTCAAAGTGCGAGTGCAAAAACATAACCTGACTTGAACTGCTACTTCTCAAAGGCTCCCGAGGGGTGCTTTAGGGTTATAAACACCTACTCAGTGACCTGCTTTGTGCACATCCCCAGCCAGGTATTCCCACACCAGAGGGAAAGCCAGCAAAGCCTGCACAGATGTCCCTAACAGCTGCAGCTGGGCTGTGGTAAACCACCCCTGCTGCTACAGTTTATTAGCACTGCAGGGTCTGTCCCCTTCTTGCTTGCTTGTGTATACAGTCAGCTGTTAAAGGACACTGACATCACTTAATTAATGGTTTAATTGAATCTCACAAAGGGATTGAAATTGGCTGCCTGACTCTTGTCACTGAGATGCTCACATTAAGAAATAGTAAATCACCAATTCAGCAGAGAAAGCTGCAGCTCTAGGTAGAAAGTTCTCATTGCTGGGGATAGGGAAATAATTCTTCTTTGCAGAATAATATACTGTTAGGGAGAAGGCTGGGGGAGGCTATTTTTTCCAAGCCATCAGGTGCCATCCCTATCCAAGCAAAGGGTAACTGAGTTAGTCTAACTCTCCCAGGCAGTATGGCACTCATTAAGGGGTAAAGAGACCTGAGGGAGCATTTTTATCTGTAAGTCAGAAGAGTGTTTTGTGTTTCACCCCCTGTGCGATAGAGAAAGGTCCAGGTGGTATTTTAAAATGGAGGGCAAAACCCCAGAAAGGCCAGGGTTGAACCAAGATGAAGCTTTGCGGTCAGTAGCAAGCTTCTGAGCTTGTTTCACAGAAAAAGGCTTCTTTGAGAGTAGGGAATCAAAAGTTAGGAGGGAGGGGAAAGAAGAATGTCCCAAAGCAATGGGGAAGCCCAGAGGGAGAGGATGTGACCCTAATGAGGGTGCTAATGCTGTGGCTGTGCTCTTGACAAGTGAAGTAATTGCTGTTTAGGAGCAATGTGAGCCAGTAGAAAAGAGTATTCCACCCAGGCGCCAAGAAGAGCAATTAGAACTGGTAAACACCAGTGGCTGACTAAAAGCAGGCCCTTAATTAATAGTTACATCTGAAGGGTAAGGAAATCATTAAGTGCTATTGGTGTCTATTAATTCCCTGCGAGACGAACAACAATAGAGTTTTAAGACTTCTTTCACCATAGAGCATGTGCAGGAAGGAACGACCGAGCCTTCGCACAAGGTGGGAGAGCTTGCTTTGTGTAACTGTGCTCTCCCACATCACTGACGAATGCCCCAGAGGCCCGGGATGTGCTGCAGAATAAACAGCTCAGACTGAGCAGTAAGTTAGGACATGGCTTTGGGGGTGCTCCATCAGGGCAGGAGAGAAGGTGGGTGGAAAACGTGACTTCAACAAAAAGCTGCACAACTGAAACACTGTGCTGGAGACCTCAGGGAGGGTATGCAGAGCTGGGGGTTTGGAAGACAAATATTGCATGATACTGTACAGATTCAGCCATGGAACCATGGAGAGCAGCGTCAGCCTCTTCTGTCCAGCTCAGAGTCCTATATAAATATCAGCTGGAGGAAGAAGTAGGAATAGGGACCAGAACTAGGCAGGGCAGATCAGGTGATTAAAACTTCCCACTGTATAAGCAGTAGCAATGTATTGGTAGACTTTGTGAAAGGTTCACAAATGCTCAGAAATCAGGAGTGTTAAGGAGTGGCCTTTACAAAGGGCACAGCCTTGATTCTAAGTCTGGATTTATTCTCATTGCTTTCTGACTCTCAAATCATCTACCTACTCTTCCCTGAATTTCAGAAGGACTGCAAGTCTCTTCCCAGTCTTACTTTTCAATTTATTCTATCATCTTTATCTGACATGGGCACTTCTGCTACATTGATGCAGCGAGCAGCTTCTGGTAGAGAATGGTAGTGTTTGGTTTTCTCAGTGTGCTAGACAGTGAATTGCTGACAAGCCTGTCAGCATGGACTGCTGCTCCTCCTTTCTCAGGGCTGGTCGCTGTGCTGGGCCTAGAAACCAGTCCAGCCTTGCTGTAAGACACATCAGTGTGCACACATGCCTTCTCCAGCTAGCTGCCTGGATACTCAGAGCTAGTCTTTGTGGTTTATAGCTGGCCTGGTATCTCCTCCTTAAAAAGAGGAATATGAAGTCACTAGAAGCTCAGCTGTATTTCTAGAGAGGGGGAAGCTCTTCCAGTGCGTCAAACATCTGTGGAAGAACCTCTCTTCCTTGCTGTCAAATCCGTGACAGCTCAAGGAACTTCCCTTTAAGATAACCTACCCTCTATTCAAATTCAGACAGTTGGAGTAAGGTAGGGAATTCATCCAAGTCTTGTTTTCTTCTCTTCCGTCAAATGCAACTCAATGGGCTCTTCTAAGCAGACTGATTTCTTTCAAAACCTGCCGCATGCCACTCAGCCCCATGAAGGAGGTTCACTGCCTTGTTGCCATGGTACCCTGTCTCTAAAGAGGAAGAGAATAGTTAATTATGCAATTTAAGAAACTAAGGAGGAACAACAGAAAGCAATAATAGAAAGGAAGATTCTGGGTTTGCGATAGAACTGCTGGCTGTGCTAAAATACACTTTCCAGGTGAAATATTTACCCAGCGCATGCTGTACATGGCTTGGGCTTCTCTGGCAGTGTGGATTTCCAGGAGCTGCCCTTTGCTAGGTGGTGTGCCTCTGCCAGCCAGGAAATCAGTCCTGTAGTTGGTTACTGCTGTTACCTTCCCTGGTTAATGCTCCGGAGAGCTTCAGACATGTTTGCTTGGCAGAAATTCTCTCTGGATGAAGCTGGGACAGCAATAATACAACACAGACCCATGTCAAGCTTGGGATATAGAGGTACAGTTCAAGACTTAAGTGCTTTACATCTCCTTGGCAGCATTTCATTGTTCCTCAGGCCTACTAATCCCCTGCTTGCTTTCCCCAGGACCCCGGAAAATCCAGTTTGTGGTGCACAAGGCAGTACCAAAGAGATAGCAAGTATCAAACCTGGCAAGATCCCAGCCCCTTTAGGACTGGCGTTTTCCATTGGCCAGTAGCACTGGCAGGCCAGCGACAGCTCAGGTGAAACAAAGCACCACAACAGATCTTTCCAATAGCGGATCCAGACTACAGCGCTCCATCCTGTGTGAAGAGGGAGAGTTGCCTCTCGCACGGCATGCGGAGCTCTGCAAGCCAGGGGGAAGGGGAAGAGTTACCCCATGCCTTGTTTCCAAATCTGTGCAGTGAGAAAAAGAGGGAAGGAAGCTGCTGTGACCCCATGCAGTTGTTTACTACAGATGACTAGGAGATCTAGACCTCAAGCTCCCTTTCAACCTAACAAGGTTAATAATAGCACTGAGGGCTACACAAGAGCCACATACAGTGGTAAGAGGAAGACAGCAGTCAAGAGGCAGTAATAATCCAAAATATTTCTGGGAACACAGCA